GACCTGCGGTCCCAGAATCTCTGACACACAGGACAACACACCCACCCCTCCCTGATCTCTGCTGGAGACACAAACACAGACAGACAGGCAGACAGACATGCAGGCCCGACAGATACAAACCCACAAAGAGGACACACACAACGCAATTAGACATTGCTGGTGGGCTCCCAGGCCCTACGGACCTGAGTCAGCTGAAGTATTAGTGCTTTCAACACCTGCGTTTGCCTATGTACACACACACACCTGTGTACACTCCTGCCCAGGCATATGTACACACCTACACACTGTCAGCCTGGCCTGTGGGGGAGGAGGCGGGGGCATGAATGAGGACTGGGTCTTGGCCTGAGCAGATGTGTGGGTGTCCCACTCTCCTCCCACATGATTGGCCAGAGGAGAGAAGGCGACAGGCCTCTAGTTAGCTGAGCACAGTGGTCCTGCGCGGGGGTGGTGATGTTGCCATGGAGATGAGAGCCAGAGATGCAGCGTTGGGAGGCAGGCTCCAGCGTGTGGGCGATGGATCCACAGATCACAGGGAGGGAAGGAGAGTGGGCGGGCGTTGGAGCTCTCCAGTGAAGGCCCTGGCCCTCCCCAGCTTGGGGAATAGGGAAAGAGAAAAGGGGAAGGCATGGTGCCTGTGTGTGAGGTGGGGTAGGACAGGCAGGGGGCAGAGGGGTGGGAGCCCTGCTGCTTCCTTGCGCTGGGCTGGGGCTTCCAGTCTGAGTGTGGCTGAGCTAGACTCACCATATAGTCAGCCTGAGCCTACTGCCCCTTTCTCACCTGGGAAAAGTGAGAGGCAAAGCTGGCACAGCTTGACACAGCTTTAAATAGGGCAGTCATGAAATCCAGCCAGAGCCCACAGAAGGAGACAGGCTGGCTCTGGGCTCAGAGGCACTGGGGAGGCGGGAGGGGTGCAGGAGAAGGGGGCAGCAGCCACAGCACCGACTAGCATCTATTGGGGTTTCTGTGGAAATGTTTCTTTGGGAAGAAAAAAAAAAAAGAATCTGTTGCCATGGCAACCTAATATCTTCCCTACCAAGGGGAGTCCCTCGTGGGAGAACAATCTCAGAGATGCCAGGGATGGGTAAACATAGGGGGCTTCCTGGGGCCAGGCCTTGGGGCAACCAACAACCTCCCCCTAGAGGGCAGGGAAGCTGAAGCCCTTTAAACACTCATTCACTTATTCATTCCACAAACACTTTCTAGTTTATACCAGGCATTGTGTTGGGCCCTGGGGATGCAGAAATTCCTCTACCACTGTCTCTGAACTCAAGGAGCTCACAGTCTGGTGGGGAGACAGGTATAAACAATGACGATTTGGAGGATAAGGGCTTTCACAGGGAAGTGGGAGAATGCTACGCAAGCACAGGAGGAGGCTAGGAAGTCTTCCTGGAGGAGGTGGCATTTTTGCGGTCTGTGGCAGGGAGAGCACGCCAGGCAGAGGGAATAGCAAGTGCAAAGGCAGAGAGGGGAACAGGATTGCACTTCCAGGTAGACAGGTGCCTAAGGGCCTCACTCACACTCAAGGGGAAACAAGGCTGGGTATGTTGGGAGCCAGGCTGCCTGTGCTTGGACTTCAGCGGTGCCACTTGCAAGTTGAGTGACCCTGGGCAAGGCACTTCACTACTTGGTACCCAATTTCCTCATCTGTAAAACGGAGACCATACTATTATCCACCATAGGGGGTTGCTGGAAGATAAATAAGTTAGAATGTGTGAACCACTGTGTAGGGCCTGACAATATTAATAATAGCTGGTCCCCTGCCCACCCACTGAGCTGCTCAGGGAAGGTGTGAGCAGAGGGGAACATTTGTCTGATCCTGAAGGTAGAGGGCATGGGATGAAGAGATGGGGCAAAGTGAACAGGGGGGATCAAAGGGCCCTGGGAGCTCCCGCAGTCCCTGGGAGGCCCTGGAGACCATTTAGCCAGGCCTCTGCCCGCCACCCATTCTACAGATGAAAACACTGAGGTCCCCGGAAGGGTAAATGACTTGCCTGAACACAGCAGATTGGCAATGGTGTGCTGGTAGGGTTAATATCCATGACATGAAAGGCAGCTCTATATCTGACCTGAATAAATAATTTATTTCTGGATTTTAATAATTTAAAAGCCTCCATTTCATTGCTGTCTCATCAAAAATAGAAACTTTCTTCTTTTTCATTTGAGATTTCTTTTTAAAGTAGCACGTGGGAGCAGGGGCCAGAGCAGGGGCCTTTGAAGGGTTTGGGGGCAGCGGCGCCCCCGACAGACTGTGAACCCAGAGCCTGTGGCTGGAGAAGGGGCCAGTGGTCATCACTTCGCGTGTCCTTTCTCCCTTAGCTTCGGTCAGTCTCCAACTGTCCTTGGAACTGTGAGTGTGGGGACAGAAACTGCTGAGAGTTGGGCAAGAGGCCCAGGGCCCTGGCCAAGTGGAGAGCGGAGGCTGGTCAGCTCCCTGTCCCTCCACGTCCACCAGCCTCCCTCTCCTCATGGGCATATCAGGGTCATGACCCCGCTCAGAGTTGGTGAGGGAATTCAGCGAATCCCTGTCCACAGGTGTCCTGTCTGTGCCCAAACCCGACACATAGTAGGCCCACAACCTTAAAGAAAAGGCAGGGAACTAATGGCTGAAAGGCCCAGAGGGAGCGCTCCGGGTGAAGGAAAGCCTGCTGCCCTCCCCTGGGTCATCACCTGGCTTGTCCAATCTGGACTGGCTCCCTAAAACTCCACACGTCAGGGCCTCTTCCTCCCTCCACCATCGCCCCCACTCATTATCTTACAAAGCCTCAAGTTGCACAGACCAGCGTCTTTCCCAGGGGAAGCCAGTCAAGGAGATGCCTCAGAGCACAGCCCTTGGCAGGAGCCCAGAGTGACAGAATCTTCCCGAGGCTCCCCACCACCATCACCAGGTGTTTTTCCCTGGGTGCCGATGGACCTTTCGTGTTCTGGTCCCTCCCTGAGGGGTACCCACAGCACAAACTCTCACTCCCAAACCAGAACTCACCCACATCAGGCCCACCCACTTCTCCCACTCTTCACGCCCAGACACTGCCTTTAGCATCTGTGTCTTTCTCGGAGAAGGTCATCCCGTCCTAAGCCTATGTCCAGCCTTTGATCCATCACACTGTCCAGACATTAGTCCATGCCACTTGTTTGGTTGTGCTGGGTCTGTTGTTACAAAAGCCCCCGCACACAGCAAACCCCCAGGAGCTCTGCAGTCTTCAAAGTACTTTCTATCAAACAATCCCAAACGATCCTGGGCGGTAAAGAGTATCATTAAGTAACGTGCAGGAGGCAGAACCCGGGCAGACATAGAACTCCTGGAATACCACACCCTCCCTACTCACCCCGCCTCCTCTGTCATCCACCTGGACGGCCCCGGGGAGCCGTTAGTTCGAGACTTTACAGGCAAGTGAAATGATGTGCCCAGGGCTCTGGAACAAAGGCTTTGGCCTCCAGGAGGGATTAGTGGCCATTCACCAGGGGCCAAAGCTGTGGTCACCCCATCTCTACCCTGAGAAACTGCTGCTCAGGCAATTGGCCTGGCCCCAGGAAGTCACTTTCCCCAACTGAGAATGCCACACACCCAGCGCCAGCTGTGTTCAGCTTCTCTGGGTTAAAAAAATCTCTCCTGAAAATGAGGTCAGGTTGTAAGTTAGCCTGAGTTTTCCTCCCTAGGACAGGTGGCAGTGTGCAAACCAAGGGCAGTTTTATACAGAAACATTTGGTGTGTTGACCCAAACCTAGGCGTAGGGTTTAGATAAGAGGAAGAGGGAAGTTATTTCCAATGTACTTAGGGGTGCCCCTGGCCTTTTCCCTGGGGGAGTGGCATGACAGGAGAGCTCAGAAATGGAGGGCATAGCCAGACTGGGGGGGGGGGTGCACGTGGGAAAGTCCAGGAGGGGCCTTGGGAACAGGAAGGACCTGGGACCCTGACTGAGCTGAGATAGAACAGACCACAAGTCCCCTAACCTCAGACTTCATGCAGGTTGACAGGGACAGGCAGCTGGGGGACGTGGCCCTAATCACCAGAGGAGCCAGTTTCTCAGCCCCACCCAACCCATTTCACTCAGTTCCAGCTCCTCCCTGAACCCTGCAGACTCCAGGTTTCCAGCACCTGGTGGGCAGGGGAGACAAGGGAAGGGGGTGAATCCAGGAGAATGGAGTTCCTGTAAAGTGACTCAGGTAGCCCCAGAAAGTATCCCCCTTGCTCCTAAGTCCATGAACAAGCCTGTGCCCCTCCTCTGGGATGACAGTCCCTACATGGCGTTACTGTCAGCATGCCAGACCTGCAGTAACGTCAACCCCCTAAAAGGCCACCAGGACTCCAGCCACGTTCAAGTCAAAATAAATTACTAATAAATTACGTGGACTTTGGGCAAGTCAGTTCTGTTGGGGCTTTACTTTCCTCATTTGTACAAGGAGGGGCGGTGGGTTTTCCTACTGGACCTTAATAGCCCATTTTTAAGCTCTCAGTCCAATACTGCTGTTAAAAATAAGCAATCTCTTCAAGTGGTGAAATGTTCCCCATTAAGTCCTTACAGACTATAAAAAGAAAATTAGCCAGGTGAGCATGGAAATCCTGTGTTTAGGGCAAATTTCCTTTGGGTTATAAATAAGCAGTTCTTTGTGGAAGGGAACCCTGCACACTGGGTCTCGGAGGCACACGCTGCTTTGCCCTTCACACAGGAGCACACGTTTCTGGCCCTAAAGGATGTGACATGTCCGGGGGAGGCAATATTCCTGTTGACAGCTGTTGCCAAGGTAACAGCAAGCCAGGCTGCAAACTCGTAGAAACAGCTGGCTCTTCTTACTCACCTTGGAAATCACCAGGAAGCTGATTAAATTTTCTTAAAATCACAGGTGGGAGCTGAGGAGCCTTATTCTTCTCAGACAGCTCACAGCTCACAGCTGCACTGTGCCACACGTTTTGATTTTATTTCAATCAAAATACAGTACCTATCCCATGTAATTCTACAGTGAGTGTCGAATGACATGGAAAGAATATATTCATGATAACTATATTAAAAATCATCTATATTTGAAGGGGGCTATCTTAGGAAATAAAATTTTATCAAACTTGAAACTCTCTCCAGGTCCTCACCATCTTCCTGTAGGAGTTACACTTCTGACTGTGGCTAACGTTTTCAGGTCTGCGCCCCAAAGCCTCCAGGAGGACGGAAGCTACTCTGTGTAAGACAAAGGGGGGCCAGCTGTGATTTTAGTTCCAAAAAAGGGTGGGGAGACAGAGGAGCCCACTGACATGAAGGGCGGCATGTGAATGCAGGAGGCTAGAAGCTAGAAAGCTGGAGGAGGCTGGGGGTGGGAGGAAGACTCCCCGCGGAAGTTATCTGTCCTGCACAGGGAAGCCTTCTCATCAGGGGACCACAGAGAAGGGCTGAGGTTTATGTAGGAGGGACACCCCAAGGCTCCTTGGGAACTGGCTAAAATTGGGCAGGACCAGGAGCCTCCACAGGTCTTGGAGCTGGGTGAGCACAGCGGATGTGACCCTGCTTCCCAGGAACCAGAGGCCCACCCAGCTGACATCTATCTGGCTCACACCTGAGAAAAAGGTGGGGTTGCAGTGCTCTTGGTTTGGCAGGAAGGAGGAGCTTCCGCTGCCTCCCCCGAGGCCCCCTTGGACACTTCAACCTGGTTTCGGGTATCCAAACCCTGGGGGAAGTGACAGCCCCACCAAGAGGGGAGGGAAATCCTGCCCCACCCTGACGACGCCCCCAGGACAACTCTGTTGTTTCCAGAGGAGAGAAGAGGAGACCAGTGGAAAATAAGGGTTTTCCTATTTCCTGCACTGGGGCCTGCTTCATCCTCAAAAATAAGCCACCAGGCCAGCACAGCTGTGGCCAGGCCCCAAATAACCTCACTGCAGGGCTGGCAGGCCTCTCAGTTAAAAATAACCTGCAGCCGCTGCACAGGACAAAGCCAAGGGGCCCCTCCCAGGGAAGACCTCCCTGCTCCATGGAGCCGATGGGAGCCCTTGCCCTTGGAAGGCAGTGAGCCTAACAACATGCATCAGGCTTCCTAGCTCCAGGTGCCGCTCTCGGGTAAACCCTGCGATAGCTCTGTGAGGTGGGCACCATTATTATCATCATTTTACAAAAGAGGAAGCACGGACACAGAGAGGTTAATCAACCAGCCCAAGGTCACACAGCGGGGGAATGGCAGAGCCAGGGCAAGTCTGGCCAAGCCTGTTGCCCCGGATGTTGCCTTTTCCTCCTTCAGAGCCAGGAAATCAGTAAGGGCTTGTACCTTGATCCCCATATACTTGGACAAGTCACCTCTCAGCCTCATTCTCCTCCCCTGTAAAGTCAGGTTAGAGGCCCAAGAGATGGAGGTGCCCTGACAGTGTTGGGGTAAGAGCTACAAAGTCCTGTCCTCTGAAAACACCAGCCCTGGGGCAGGTACCCACTCCACCCCACCCCCACCCCCACCATTTGTCTGCCTGGCAAACTCCAATGTTCCCTCAAGTCTCAGTGCAGTCCTGGCTCCCCTGGGCAGACGGGCTCACAGGGGCCTGCACACCCTTCCCTCCCAGTACTCGCTGGCCAGCACTGCCATGACTGTGAGGAGGCCTGGCTGACAGCAGGAGCCGGGAAGCTCTGACCTTGGGCAATACCCCCGAATTGGCAGATGCCAGCATGGGTGCTGCTCATGGAAGCCTCAGCAAACGTGCATCACCCTGCGATTCATCTGTCACCTTAGTCCAGTTGCTTAAAACATTCTCACTTCTCAAGCTGTAATGGCACACGAGTCTCCTGGGCTCTTGTTGAAGTGCAGGTTCTGATTCTGTGTATCCGGGGTGGGGCCTGAGAGTCTGCATTTCCTACAGGCTCCCCGGTGATGCCCACGCTGCTGGTCCAAGGACCACACTTTGAGTAGTGAGGCTTCCAGGAAGACGAGTTCAATAGAGGTGTTTCCTGTAGCCAATGCTTTAGGCGAAGGCTGTGGATGATGCAACTCTGAAACCAGGCTGCAGCTCCCCCACAGGTGGTGTGGGAGGGTCCTGAGCAAAGTCCCCATTGAAGAGAGCTGTTCGGGTCCTCGGGGACTCACACGAGGGGGCTTGGAATCCAGGCTGCAGTGCTGTCCCTGGAGCACCCAAGCCTGAGCCCTGCTCTCGGGCTTCAGGCTCAGCACAGCCTCTGCTCGCCCAGTGTCCTTAGGCGAGATACCGTCTCCCTGGACCTCTGCCCTCGCGAGACTGTCTGCTGCGAGAATGAGAGACATAACACTTAAAAAAAAAAGAAGGGCCAGTGTAAGCAGCGCTCACCGCGTGCTTTTCCTGTGCCAGTATCTTTAATCCTAATGGAGACCATTGGGCTTGGGCACCAGACCTCTTATCAGCACCTTACCAATGGGGAAACTGAAGCCCTGAGAGAGGAGGTGCCAATGGGCACACTGTGCCGTGAGGCCTGGGCAGCCTGGTTCCAAAGCCCAAGGACTTGATCACCTTGTGACTCCGCCTATGCAGTGTGAGGCTGGGTTAAGACAGTGAGGAGTGGGATCCTAACTACGCCCTCACCCCACAGCCCCAGGCTCCTCTGCAGACACACTCTGCCGTCCCCTCTGGCTCTGCCACTCTTGGGTCTGCCCTGCTTTAAACCAGCCCAAGTATGTGACGCCCGAACTCCCCTCAGCCAAGCCCCTACCTCATCATATGGTGGCAGTCTGTTTCCTCTTCTATCTTCTCCCCTAAACTGGGTACTCTTCAGAAACAGGACCATTTTTTTATTTCTCTGATCTCCAGCTCAGCACCTGGCGCACAGTAGGTGTGAAACTAACTTGTAGCCACAGTTTCCAAGAACCGTGCTGGGAGGGTATGGGGGTGGGGGTGGGGTTGCGGTGGCGATGCGTTTCCAGATGTTGCCACCAGAGGGCAGGCGCGCACAGCAGCTGGAGCGCTGGCGCCGCAGCAGGGAGAAGGTGGGGTGGGGTAGGTCCCTTGGCGCTCAGCATCTAGGCCTCCAGACCAGGGAAGGCCAGGCCGGCCAGCTTGCGGCCTGGGGCTTGCGGCATCTCTGCACTTCCCCTGCCTATTCCAGCCTGAGCTCCAGAGTTCTTTTCCTTCTTTCTCTCTTTCCTTTCCTCTCTACCCTTTCAGGTTCCTGGGTCAATCTTGACTTTGTGTGACTTTGGACCAGACGCCTTTTCTCTCTAAGCCTTAGTTTCCTCATCTGTACAATGGGAAAATAATGACAATACCCAGCTTTTGTGCATTTCCCCTACCTGGGGTTTGGGACCCTCGGTGCAGGGTCCCACTTCCCTTAGCACCAGCCCTTCCCTGCTCTTAGGGAGCATCTAGGCTTTTGCTGAGGTAGAATCAGGGCCCTTTGCTGTAAGGTGCCTCCTCGTCAGGCCTCCTGCTCCATCCCTGGTGGACAGTACTCAAGGCCCGGTGTGCGGTGCTGACAGGAGTGGCTGGACCACAATGACCCCTCCTCCTCTGGTCTGGATACTGCTGCAGCCACCTGTGCTCGGATGCTCGCGGGACATTACTTGGGTTTACTCTGCTTACAAACAGACTAGTAGGCAGGAATGGATGGATGGATAGATGAATGAATGAATGAATGAGAGAAAGAAATTCATGCATTGCTTCAGAGCCTCTGTGTGAAAAGCAAAGGGCTTTTCATACCCACTGCCAGCAGAACCCTCAAGCCTTCGAGCCTCTTGGGGACTGGCTCCAGCCAGTCGAGCACCCGTCTCCCTTTTCAAGCTTCTTGTCCATTTGGATTCCCCATGGTCAGTGACACGAAGGGACCTTGGCCTGGGTTGTCCTGGTGAGGGTTTATTCTTTCACTGCAGGTCAGCTGCAGCGCTGGCTGGCCGGCTTCAGAGGGGAACCTGAGATGCTCCAAGCCCCTGGGAACAGAGGGCTATGTGACAACCTCAGTCAGATCAGACTGCAAGCTGGGTCCAGACCCCAGGTGACTCCCAAGCTCCTGCCTTCCTGTCCACGCCCTGCTGCCTCCAGAGAAAGGGTTTCTGGGCGGGCCCAGAAATGGGATGTGTCACAACAGTGGGTTCTCCGTCCCCTGCCAAGCTCACGGCTTTCTTACAGCCAGGCCAGGCTCTCCTGACACTAGTTCCCACCTGTAGGGACTTGCCCAGTTGCTGACCCAGATTTCCAGGCCACTCTGTCAACACCTCCAAAGCGTGGCCTCTCAGAGGCCCAAACAGCATCCACAGCCAACGTCACAGAGACTCAACCGGCAGTGGGAGGACACCCTCTTATACCACGGACCCAGGCCCACTTGGAGCTCGGGGCAGTGAATGAAGAACACGTGTTAGGTGCCTCTCAGTGGGTAGTGGGTCAGTGGGCAGCACGAATGGACACAGTAAGAGCGTGGAAATGGAAGTACTTAGGACGGAGGGCCCTATGTGTGTGTCTGAGGCGTTTCTTTGTGACTCTTCCACAGTCCCAGGTGCTGGCTCTCCTGCTGCCCCAGGATGATGACTCAGCCCCCCCACTTCTGCGGCAACCCCCACCCCCAACCTCGGCACATCCAGTTCTCAGGATGGCTAATCTGGTTGCCACACAGCCTTGAAAATTCTGCCCCTGGCTGGGGGCCCCACTTGCTGAGCCAACATGAGGCATGAATCACGGGGCTGGGTCAGAGAAGCTGCAGGCTCAGGAGCTGCCAGAGGCTGTCCGGAACCGCAGACCTCACAGCCGCAGCCCCCGCCTCCATGGGGGCTGTGCCCTCCACGTCCCTCCCAGCTGGCCTCCCATGGGCCTGACGTCATCTGGCCTCACACAGCCCCATGGCGGGGCGGGGCCCTGACCACCCTGCAGTCCCCGGTCATAAGGAGTTTGTCAGGATGGTCTAGAACACGCAAATCGTATTCTTCTTAGATTTTTCTTAGATTACAAATGCCCAATTAAAAGTCTTTGTAGAGAATTCCTGGACTCCCAAACATACGCCCAAGGACCTAGCGGGTCCCCAGTTTGAGAAACTTTCAGAAAGTGAAATCAGGGTCGGTCCCAGCCTGGTGTCCAGTTTGCTGCCAGTTGTCCAAGTGCCACCCTTCTCTGAGCCTCCTACAGCCTGGACTTCCTTGCCTCTGTGATTCCTTGGAGACATCTCAGGCCCCCGGCTGGTTAGACACTAACCTTTAGGTGAGGCCTGTGGCTGCGCTCAGAGCTGCCCTGTGGTAAGCCGGACAGGGGAGGCCTCTCTGACCAAAGGCCTGCCTGGCTGCAGGGGTGGGCACGCCCAGGGCAGGAGGGGTCTCTGTCTTACCTGTCTGATGCAAGGTCCTCTGTCATTCTCCAACGCAGCCTGCACATTCATAGGCTAGTGAGTCAGAGAATCTCTGTGTTTCCCCGTCAACCACTGGACAGGGGCCTGGGCAGTGCCGGGTGCTGGCCTCGCTGGAGGCCTGGCCTGGGCCAAAAGGTGAAGAATCCACTGTACTCAGAAGGGTGCCCGCTGGTTTCTCTTGGGCCCTGGCCGAGAAGTCCTGACAGCCTGGCACATTCCCCTCCCCAGCCCAGCCTGGAACATGTCCTGGGCTCCCTCCCTGACGCCAGGCGATGTGCTGCGTTTGTTTCTTAGGAGGAGATGAGGAAAAGGGACTCATGAGCTGGAGAAACTGCTGATGAGGCCAAGTCCAGCATTGTCTTCATGTGCACTGCAAGTGTAGACATTTGGCCAGAAGGTGCTCAGAGCTCACCTGGTCCAAACACTCCACCTACAAGGGCGGCCCAGGCCCAGGGCTCACTCGGTGGACATCAGGGACACCTGGGCTTCCTGGCTCGCAGCCAGATCTCTGGGCCTCAGAATCCACATCTGTGAAACCTCTCTGAGAATTAGGCCATGGAAGCAACACATACACGTCCCAGTAGATGTGTGACAGCCACTTAAAAGAGACAGGGCTGGACATACCCGGCCTCCATTTTGCCTTCTAACAGCTCCCCAGTGTGCAAAATCGAAATGACGTCTTCCACACAGGAAGCGGCCTGGTGGGACCACATCCTGAAGAGACACCCTCCCCCCACACCCGCCACCCTCCCCACACCTCCACACCACCTCCTGCTGCTCTCTTGTAGGTGAAGGGACAGCCTTGTGACTCAACCAGGCCAGCCAACTGCTCCCTCCTGGAATTTAAATTTTGAAGAAAGGGACAGAGCAACTGGACATGGGGTGCCAGGCCTCTCAAAAGGATGAGAGGCTGCTGGCCTGACCGCCTGGGCTCCAGTCAGATATTGGCTCCAAACTCCAACTCCAGTCCTGCCTCTAACCTCGGGGTTAGCATCAGTGCCAGGCAGGTGGATGAGAGAACAGAGTGCTGGTTTCTGGTACCATGGCAGATTGGCCCATGGGTTTATCACCTGTGGCTCCCCAAGTCCCCATAGAATGACAGGGACGCAAAGACCAAGGAGACAGCAGTGAGTGAGAGTTCATGGACGGTTTGGAAGCCAATGGAGCCAAGGTGACTGACTTAGCAGCACCGACGTTACAACCTAGGATAGCAGCCAGAAGGGTGGTTTGCCCTGTAGAACTGCTGACGACTTCCAAAGCACTTGAAGATGGTCCCACAGAAGGCCTGGCGTTGGAAAGAGAAGGAGTGGTGGGAAGTCTATATTCAGAGAGCTGGTATCCCCTGCCATGCAGCCAGAAGATCTTCTCCCATCCATAACCACCTTGTACCCATGGTTCCTGAGGGGGGACTTAAAGTGACAGTGATTAGTATTACTGCTGTGATGACTATTACTGCTGTAATCCTGCCCTAACGACTTGCTACAATCCTGCAGGTGGCATCTTACAGGAATTTGCCCCAGACAACCAGCCCTGGGATTGGTATGCTGGGGCATCTCAATTTCACACTCACCAGTGTCCCTGTCATCATCCCATGTCCACTCCACACAGCAACTGGAACAGCAGGCAGCTCTGCTCTACCACTTTCTGGCTGAGAGACGTTGGGTAGGTTACTTAACCTCTCTGTGAAATAAAACAAACCATTCCTGCCTTGCAATTCCGGTTGAGAGGATTAGCAATAGTGTCTCTGATGTCTTGCAAAAGTCCTCAAATATAGTAGTTGATGTTCTATCGCTCAGTGAGAAGGTACCACTAGGAACCAAAAGTTTCCCAAATAGGCCTCAGACTTGCTCTGACCCACCCCAAATGGGTGTTGCCTTAATTATCCTGCCTCCAGCAAAATCCTGCCTCTAGGACCCGTGGGATCTGTGGGTGAAAACCAGGGGGTACTCTGTGAGCACAGAGGGACAGAGGCTGCCTGGGTCCAGCCCAGCAATGCTGGGGGCCATGGGGCCAGGTTGCCCAACCCCAGGGCAGGGGGTGGGGTGTCCGGTGTCCCACCTGGACTGTCCCCAGAGGCTGACTCAGGAAAGGCCCAGGGCAACCCGGCGGGAGCTAGTCCTGGCTTCCCCAACCCGGGGAGGTGGCCTATAGTCGGGGGGCTGGGGTGACAGATGGAACTGAGCAGGCAGGCAGTTACGGGGCTAATGGGTGTGTGGGGCTCAGGCCCAGCACGCTCAGCCTCGCCCAGCCCACCTTGGTCCTCCATTTGCTCCTCTTTAGAATACGAGGACGTCTTATGTCACGACCACTCATTTTCCATGTATGAGCTTGTTACAGGCAAAGATGTGTCATTTGGTGACGAATCTCCTGGTACAGTTTGGTGTCCGGTAGAGGTTCGCTGTGTGGCTGGAGGGTGGGTGACTAGAAGAAGGGTGGGGCTAGATGGAGGCTGTGGTGGGAGCCTCACTAACATGAGCAATTTCACATAGAGACACTCATTGTGGTGGCTGGAAAAACTCTCTCTG